AGGCCGTGATTGGTAAGGGCCAGTGGGAAATTTGGCCACGACGCCGGGGTTACACCCCTACGTCACACCCCCTATTTTGCCCTCACAGCAGTGGTTACATGCAAGCAACAAATTCAGTTAGCACGGTTACAATTTGCAAGCAACAGGTTAATACCAACTAATAGAAAACACTTAAGCCAGTTCAGTAGTTGGCTTAATAATTCAATAGAATCAACTGCTACAATTGTGTTCAAAGCTAGAAAAAATCAGGCTTTTTTTGTCTTGACAAGAAGGAAAATTAGATATCTAAAAGTAAAATGTTTATTCAATAACATGTACTAGTAAGATTTCCACATTTTTTTAGGTTCTTGTAAGATACTGCCGATGTTTGTGAATTAATTTCCTAGCCATGTAACATGAAAGGATAGAATCCTCTTCTGGTATGTCTGAAAAGCAGATCGTCACCGTGGTGTTGTACTGAAAGCAGGGTTCTAAACCCAACAACACGTTGCCAGTTAGCCCCAGAGTGTTGCTTGTATGTCAACAGAGATTATCACACATGGAAACAAACCTGAAATAGCTCTCCCTTGCATTTCCCAAGCATCATCTGTATTACCAAGGTTTTAGAGATGTAGAAACCAAGAGATTCGAGCCTGAAGTGTCCGTTCATCAAGCCAAGCTAACTCCTAAAGGAGGTCCCCAAGAAATCCTTAAAAGATTTCAAGAGGACTTTAGCAATCATGTTTTGCTATCCTCCCTTGTAATACTTCAGTAATGCTAATTTTGCATGGCCTTTCTGCTTGTAATATGTCATAATGTTTATGTTGTATTCAATCCATTGTCTGCGCTAGTAATTGTGGATTTAGAAGTCTGAGTGCATCATTTCCTTCAGGGTGAATCTTCTTGCTCCCATTGCCTGATCTTATTGCTGTATTGTACCCCTCTAACCCCCAGGACACCCTGGCCTATGCCACTGCCCTACTGAATGAGAAGGATCAATCAGGCAGCAGTAATGGTTCTGATGGGAGCCCAGCAAATGAGAACTCAGACAGGAGTCTGCGACAGGTACCGTATTGCACCCATTCCTATATTATGAAATATAGGTAATATACATTAAGGTAGGTTTATGTAGAGCTAAAATATTCTACATTTATGAGTTATATTATCAACTAATTATTGACAAGTTCCTATCTGGTTACATCTCATATCAGTTACTCTAAAAAAATCACTTTAGTACTGATGTAACATTGTGTTGAAAATAACTTTTAAAAGTTAGAAATTCTTCAGAATAAAAAGATTACATAAACGTGGTTTCTTAGGAAAGGTGGGTTTGAAAAAACTCACAAGGACAGTTTTATTTTAATGAAGAACACATCCTTTGATTTTTCTAGCAGCAATGCAATCCTGTCTCACTCTGCTTTCTTCCTTTTCCTCCTACCTCACCCACCCACCAGGGATCAGAGTCTCCAATGATGCTTGGCGATTCGAAGAGCGATTTGGATGATGTTGATCCCTAATCTTTTCCTCCCTGACAGAAGAATACGAAGGCAAGCAAAATTCAAAAATCCATCGAGTGGCATTGCAGTGTGGTTACGTGCAGCCAACTAGGAGACTGCATTGTCCTCAGGAGGGCATAGGTAGTGGCAAAACAACCATCAGCGCACACTCCAGAGGAAAGAAAAGTAACTTTGCCTTCTGATTTTCATCAAGAGCCAAACTGTTACAGCTGACAACAGAAACGAAGCTACAGCAGTGGATTGATTTTTTTTATTTTGAGAATAGTTATCAAGCGGCTAAACAAGAGTTTTATTATTGAAATGGAGTTAAAAGATGAATGAGGTGTAGACATAAACATCAGTGCTGATTTTTTTAATACTACAAGAGGGCGGAAATGCAGCAAGAGGTTGACAGTTTTATTTTTTTTTTGCTGTTGTAATTACATTGAAAATATTCATAATGTAAAGATTTGTTTGATATAATTTGCAAGTGTAAGATATTTTAAAGAAGTATCCTTTATTCCTTGAATTGACCTGTGTGGATGAGAGGGCTTGTTGGACTGATTTGAACATTCTCAAAGGAGGAACTTGCTATAGTATATGAGGAAAGTCATCATTTATAAGTTGAAACAATTTTTTACAATGCACTTTGAAGTCAAGTTCAGATTATGATTAAGACAGCATCCACCTGCTTACCTCCTGTAGTTTAACAAATAATCAGAATTGGAGTTGTTTTTTCAAAAGACTGATTCTGAAAAAGAAGGCAATTTTAAACAAATTCTGGAAGGCACACATCAGCAGAAACTTTCTTTTGGAGACCGTGTGCACTTTATTTAGAAGTGCATGCAGCACCCCTGTCACCGAGGCAGAATCACTGTTTTAAGTGGAAATAATGCATTTAAAAGAACAAAGCTTAATTTTAAGCTGGTTTTTGTTTATGAACACAGGCAGGCATCTCAGACTTTTTGCTTCCCTGAGAAGTAATGCTATAGCTGTAAAGTACTGAAAATGAAATCACAATATTTTGGTTATAAGGTTGGAAAAACAGTTGCTGACTAGCCTGTGAGGCCTCACATACCCTTACATCTTGAGGATCCTGGTTTCTTTATGCATTCAGATGTGTTCACAGGAATTGATTTTTTTACCTTAATATTTCAGGTCTCTGTACCTTCCACTCTGCGTAACAGGTTTTGTCTCATATGCCTTATGTGCTAGAAAAGAGCAGATTTGTGCATCTTTGAGAAGTGTCACTGTCAGTCTTACCCTGTGTCAAACTCTCAGTTTACAGAACTCGGGAGTCATGAGCATGTTTTTCAGACAGTAGTGAGATAACCTTGAGATTAAAAGTGATTAAAGATCAGTCGTTTGAAAAAATGCTATATATTTTTTTTAGGTGCCAACTAATTTAAACATAATACTTTTGTAACTATATATGTGTATATATTGACAGCATATTTTTGTTGTGTTTATTTATGTGGACTTGGTTTAACAGGAAATGCAGACCCAATTACATGTAACACTCAACAAATTGCATTCACCAGCACTACATGAGCAATGCTCCTGCCTAGGTCCCCTGGTCGTCTCACCTGTGATATTGAGATGTGTGTGTCCTGAATGCAGATGTTTCCTCGCCTCTGGAAATAAGTCATCCAGGCCTGCCACAGCATGGGGCTTTGTGAATTTGCACAGGCCTTTACCAAAACATCAGCATTTTGTAGCGTTTCCTCTGGTAGCTTCTCTCAGCAGTAATCACAGAACCGGTGGAGGTTGGATTGCTCATTGGCTACAGCAGGACAGTGCTGCAGCACTGCCCTATATAATCTGCAGTATCTGTATCTTCCATCCAGCACAATGCCACAGGTTTCAATTAGTCCCTTTTCTCTCTATGTCCTGTCAAAATTAAGCAGTGAATGGGTAAAAAGTCCCATTTATATGACTTCTGAGGTTATTCAGTGCTGTAGGTTTTACTCTTTTAACCTATTTTTTTGGGTGTAGGTGTGATTATATTTTGTGTTTTTGCCAAATTTTCCTTTCCTTCACAGCTTTGCCTTGGTTTGCTTTTCTTGCCTTATCGCACATCTACAGAAAGAGGAAGGAGAGATCCCCAGAGAATTACCTCCAAGTACTGCAGGACAGCTGGCACCTGCCTTGAAGGCACAATCCGCCGCAAGTGCCTTTACCAACCACCCTCGCCTTGTTTTTCACATGGATAGAGGAGGGGTTTGAGATAACAAATAGGAAATACTGCATTAGGAGTTGTAAGGTTTTCTTAATTCTGATCAATTGTACAGCTGGTGTTTACATCTGACTATGTTTCTGTCTTGGATGGGCTGGAGTTGCAATTGGAGCAGAGTTTTCTTCTGCTAGTCTGCTTGTTCATTAAGTGCTCAGAACTGATTCTAAAGTGAAACTTTTTTATTGTTTTGAAGGATAATCAAGCACCCCAGCACTCCCAACATAAATTTAAAAATGCAAAATTATTTTGTTTTTATGTATTTAACAATACTTATGGAAACAATCTGGACTTCTGTAAAAAATGTGCCCTTTCCAACAATGCTGCAGCACTGTCCTTTGCCGTTACTGAAATCAAGACCATGAAATCATTGGTGAATAGGGAGGTTAAAAAATTCTGTAGTCACTAAAGAAGCTTGTGGTAGCTATGATTAATTTCCAGAATTATTCATTCTTAGTAGTTTATGAAATGAAAATGCCATCTCATTGTTTTTTTAATTGTGGCATGTTTTTCCTCATGCTGGTTCCATTCCAGTGTGGCTTTTCATCTTATTCTACTGTGCTGCCTCTAACACAGGTCTAGAGGCTGCTCCAGAGGATCCTTATTTTTGAAAGGCTCTGCCCTTTTAAGGCATCAATTTATAAAACTAATCTAAGCTTTAAACAGCCCAAACCCAGTCTAATAGTGCCAGGCGACAAGGTCTATAGAACCAACAAACGTTTTAGTTCACTTAATCTTTTTGGCAGTGTTCCTTGTGGAGACCTTTATTCTTTATTTAAACTATTCATTTTGTTATATCCTGTCATTACCAATTTTCAGGAATTACTCTTGCTAAAATCTTCATTTATGTTCTTTACATATGGCTTAAACTATGTGAGGGAGATGAAGTGCCTCTCATTTTCTTATCCATGTATCACCCACAAAGGATTAGAGCAGCATGTTGGTCTTCTGTTGCTACTAAGTGCATTGCAGTCAGAGGCATTGCTGTAAGTAATCAGGCCAAAGAGGTCTAACCTATCAAATCTGCATTAATTCACCATATAGTGCATTGTGTATGAATTAATGTATGAATTGCATTGTAATCTGACAGATGTGAGGAGTATTTTGAGTGTGTCAGTCTTCTTTTGGAGAAACCGAATTCTCAGCCCTGTTTAAGCAAAATTAAATTTAGAATTTTAGTCCCTTGAATTGAAAGTGTTTTGAGTTGGAAGTAAAAAGCTTGGTGGTAGTAAGAGGGTGAAACAAAAAATATGAACTACTTACCATTGGGAGAGTATTGGTTTATTATTCCATTTTATGGTAAATTGTAGAAGTCAGAAAACAGATTAGTATTTCCCTCATAACATTCCCTTCATTACAATTGAATGTGATTTCCATTAAGGATCTTGGGTTTTTATGCATTTTTTAGAATGATTAATTTCAGTCAACTACTTCTCACAGCTGGAAACTGCTGCTGACCAATGCTAAGTTACAGGCTTTTTAATCTCTGCTGATCTAAGGTAATGTTCTTACTTGGTAATGTGATATGAAAACTTTTTTTTAAGATGAAGGGAACCACCTAATTATGAATATGGATTCTACATAAAGAAGTCAGTAAGCTTTTGATAATATGCAACCTCTGTTTAATGTCTTTATAATAAAATAATAAAGCACTGTAGTCTGTTCCACCCAAGACTTACACTTCAGACTGCTGCAGAGAATTTTAAGCCTTATTAAGTCATTTCTTGTGTTTGTTTAATAATTGCAATTCCATTTTTTCTTTACACATATATCAAAGAGATATGGAGTAGTGCATGAATACACTCTACAAGTGAATATTCTGCCACTTTACTCTCAAGTTGAGGTCAAACTATGTAATTGGTTTTTATTTCAAATAAGGTGTTACTGTATTGTACAGAAGGTTTTTCTGCAGCCCAGATAAGTAGACCTGCAAGAGGAAGATAGCTGAGCAGTACTGTAATAGGTTTTTTCACCAGTTCAGTGCCTTGATAGAGGCATCCTGTATGTCCCCTTCCTAAAACTGACCATTCATTCATGCTGTTAGCTTCAAGAAGGAAAACAAGGTCAGCCCACTTGCAATGCATGACTTGTTGGAATGGGAAAGGACTTTGCACTGACTTTGAAGGAGCTGACTGAGACATAAAAAAAAAATTGTGCGTTACTTCAGGGGGGTTTTCAAATTAAATATTACACATGAATTTTCACTTTTCTTTTGTTTTCCAAAGCCATGAGTCTACTTCAGAAGGTACCTAGCAGTCCTTTGTTTTTAACACGGGGTTAGGGTGGGTGTTTACATAAAATACGGGTTTTTATTCAGTAATTTTGCTTTGAACATTTATTGCTGAAAGATCTATGAATTGTAAGAATTCTGTAATGCATGTTAAAACCGAATTTTAATCTGTACAGCAGAGTTTGATTATGGGAAAATTTGATAAAATAAACTGGAATGGACACCCTTTTAAAAAATTAGTGTTTCATTCATCCTATATTGGATAGTGGACAAAGTTTTCTTTATACAGTACATTCAGTGTATAGTGCTGAATAAGATTTTAAACATTAAAGGGAACTATGCAATTATTTAAAATTAATTTAAGAATGTTCACATTGTTCAAAATATATAAATGTACAAACAAGAAAGTGAAGGTTATGCTGCACTGTAAAATAATTACATTCACTGTATAGAAAGTACAATATGTTACAGTCCGTAAACTAAACAAATCAGTGCATCATGAACCTAGGGTAACTACACCTACTGGTGTACAATATGTTTGGGCAATTCTCACAGTCATTTCTATTAATCAATCTGGCCTATTCAAACATCTTAAAATGTTATACTATATAGTGCCTGCAGACATTCAAACAATGTAGATTAGTGGCTATTCTGTTTTAGCCTGAAACATTTCCAGCCTGGAGCATGTTTTAGGTCAGGTGTTTTGCTAACAGTAAAACAGCAAATCAAACAGAAATAAGATTTTCATAATAAAGCCTCACAAATTAACATTTGTCCATCTGTTTTTATATTTTCTGAGGATTTAAAATATAAAAAATAGTTATTCAGTTCTCTCTTACAGCTCCATTTACATGTAACAAAGCTTGTTGTTTTCATTTCTTCCAGTATTTTAGAAATCTAAAGTTTTGAACAAAAATAAGTAAAAAATGTTGTCTTTTACTTAACAAAAATGTGCATTGCAACAATTTTCAGTGCTTTAAATGTTTTGTTTCCTGTAATATAATTGCTAGCAGTTTGGTTAAGAGCATATATTTTACCATTCGCAACAAACCACAGTGCTTTGGCACACAAGGAGATAAGGTATGACTGTAAAACAGGGACTAGAAAGATACTGTACAGTGCCTTCAGAAAGTATTCACCCCCCATTGATAATTTTTGTTCTGCTGTGTTGCAAAGTCAAATTAAAGCATAAATTGAATTTTTTCCCACTCCTGTAGAACTAATTCTTTATCATGTTAAATGAAATAAAAGTATTTAGATGTCTTCAGAATTGTATATTTTTTTAAAATCTGAAAATTACTTAATTGATAAGTATTCACCCCCTTTGTTTTAACAACCTAAATTGGGTGAGGTATTCAATTATCTTGAGAGATATCGCACTAAATACATTAACAAAGTACACCTGACGAAGGAGCTGCCCGTGGAACCTCGAGATGAAGCTCGGAGCACCATGAAGTCCATTGTAATACAATGGCAAAACCCAGACACTGCTAAGATCAGGCCATCCTCCAGATAAGAAGGGCAATGGTCATAGAAGTGACCAAGAGGCCAGCTACAACAGTGACAAAGTTGCAGAGCTCTTTGGCTGAAATGGGAGAAACTGTCCAGACATCAACAATCTCTTCAGCACTTTACATATTTGGCCTCATGCTCTGGGGTTGCTTTTCAGCAGGAGGATCTGGAAAGCTTGTTGCCATCAAGGGCAACATGGATGGAGCCAAATACAGGCAAATCCTCGAGGAGAACCTGTTTAAGTCAGCCAGAGCCGCGTTTAGGGTGAAAATTCGTTTTCCAGCAGGACAATGGCTCAAAGCACACAGCAAAAACTATCAAGGCATGGCTTCAAAAAAAGATTAGTATTCTGGAATGTCCCAGCCAGAGCCCAGAATTGAATCCAATTGAAAATCTGTGGTATGACCTGAAAATTGCTGTCTACTGATGCTCTACATCTAATTTGGCGGAGTTAGAGAAAATTTGCATTGAAGAATGGGCAAAAATTCCACTATCTAAATGTGCAAAGCTTATACAGATATACCCAAGAAGACTCACGGCTGTAATTGCTGCTAAAGGACTATGTACAAAGTATTGACTTGAAGTGAATACTTTTTGTAAATGAGAAATGTAAGTCTTTCATTCTGGCAAAACAAATGTTCTTGAATAAAAAATATTTTTCATAAATATGTTGAGTTAATTGTTTTATTGAAGGGAGAAATAAATATTTCAATGCTTTAAAATTTGGAGGTGTAACAGGAACAAAATGTGAAAAAATTCAAGGGGGTGAATACTTTCTGAAGGCACTGTATGTCTGCTTCCATGCTTTTTGAGTCCTGTTGTATAATGAAGGAAAACCGTGAACACTCAAGATTGCCACGACATTGTAGGAGTGCTAGATTGTGCATCCAATCCTCTGTTGAGTTTAACCCTTGAAAAAGCATTATGGGAAAACTAGAGCTTGAAAAGCAACATAGTAGAAGAATGTTTTCCCCGTAATGTTTAAAATTGATTTTTTTTCTTAAGAGTTTTTAATAGTCCATTTGAGTGGAATTTGTGTCCAGGAATCCTGCAGTCCTGCAGCAGAAAGGTTTTCAGCATTGTCGATCTTTTTATCTCTCTTGACGGAGACAAGAATGCAGCAACAGTGCATTTGGACATTCTCCCATTCATCTATGTTCCTCACAGGCCAAAGTACTGCACTTGGGAAGTCACTTGTCCTTCAGATGAGACGAAAAACAGAGGTCCTGACTCTGTGGTCATTAAAAATCCCAGGGCGCTTCTTGAAAAGAGTAGGGGTGTAACCTTGGACCTTGTCCTGGACAACTTTCCAATTGGCCCTTACCAATCATGGCCTCCTAATAATCCCCCTCTATGAATTGGCTACATTACTCTGCTCTCCTCCCCACTGATAGCTGATGTGTGGTGAGCGTTCTGGCACACTATGGCTGCCGTCGCATCATCCAGGTGGATGCTGCACATTGGTGGTGGTGGAGGGGAGTCCCCATTACCTGTAAAGCGCTAGGAGTGGCGTGTCCAGAAAAGCGCGATGTAAGTGTAAGCAATTATTATTATTATTATTTTATTATTATTATTACTTCCTGTTTCAGGGACTAAAAGTTATACAGGTTCATTTAAACAATAGTTGAGTCACCCGGGTAAGCTCAAACTCAGATATAAATCATAGGACCTTGTTGCCGGGAAGCCTTAAAGAGTGAATGGCATGTTGCACGTGGCTATTTGTGATTGTTCATGACTCTATTGTTCTGAGACTGGCTGTTGTGGCAGCAGGTAGCAATAGCGGACACACCCTTTCCCCCCTCAGAGCTGGTGACCACACAGGTGTTGTCCCGAGCATATGCCCCATGGCTGATGGAGCCCCGGGACACCGCATTGCACCCTGTCAGTGTCCAGCCCTCTTCACAGGTCACTAAAACCTAGAGGCAGAGAAAGAGAAGGGGAAATTATGAAAAAGTCTGCACCGTTGTCACTGACGTATCACCTCTTTATAATGGACAAAGATAAACTTAGAATCAAAATCACATACCACTGCACAGCAAACAACTTTGCATGACTGGATTCCCAATGTCACTGGTGCCTAATCTCTAATTCTAATGTAGCGCAAATCATGAAAACTCGTGAGCGTCTATATTGACACCATCATTTCCCAACCCTCTGCATCAGATTTACACCAGTTTCCACAGCAGGCTGTCATTCTACCCACTTGATATAATTTCTAGACTATCTGTACATCTTGCAATTGACAGGATTTTTCCTGACTTCTTGGTTTGTGACTTATTGTAAAGATGACAAAAAATAAAACTAAAGAAATTAGTTACAGAAAAGAGGAAGTCATTTGACCCATCTACCTTATTTGGTAATTGATCTCATCCACCAGCTTCTTGCGGAAAGGGTTACCTGTTTCAACAGTGTGGCTCAGTAGCCCGTACTCTCACACCATTTAGGTAAAGAAGTGCCTTCTGTTCTCAATTCTAAATGCACTTTGGCATAATTTCCACTTTGGGGCCTCTGGTATGTTTCATTGTCATTGACTGTTTTAGCCCTATTTTAATTAAGTGTGACAGTGTGGTCTTGCAGTAGGTTACACACATTTGCAAAGGCGTAGCCAACAAAATGAACTTACAGTATGAGTCATACACGTAAAATGGTGACAGACATCCCTAGAAAATGTTGTACTGAACTAATCGGATATCTGTGAAGACGAGCGCACTGCTGGTGCACCCTTTGGATAGTTCTCCGTGGTGCCAAATCTGTACCTGCTCACTGAACCCTGGTGGTGTGTGCTCCTTCACCCTGCAATCCAGTCTAGGCGCATGGCAACAGGAAGCGTGTGAGACCACACCCTCTTTCCCAGAGCATGCTTTCTTCTCTCCATGGAGAGGACGGACAACATCCGTTATGCTCCCTGATGACGAGTGGGAACTGCAGCCTGTGGAGAAAAGAGATCAGTATTGTTGATGGTTTATTGATTTGTATAGCACACATCCTAAAGCAGTTTAAAAAATTTGTCTGTCAAGTAATTGTCAGTTACACACATGCATGTGTAAACTTGTTATACATTTTAGCTAATTTATCTGAACTAGTTAGATATAATTGTTTTAAAATTATATCTAATAATTATAATAAATAATTAAACTTGTTCAGTTAATTTCCAGTTTTCACTATTGCTGTTTTTGTGGGAATTCTGTCCAGGTAGAAACACTTAGTAGCAGAAAATCTAATATGTCAAGGCAATATAAAAGAAAATTCATAATTGTTTATGAACGAGAAGGTTTAAACAGGAGTTGTTAAAGGACCTTGTCTTACTGTGTGCATGATGGCTGACCCAGATGGACAGGCTGTTCCCTCCATCCTTTCTTCCCTCTTGAGTATCTCTGCAAGTCGGAGCTCCTTACCTGTCAGCACATGATCCTCTCTGAGGCACTCCACTCCCATCCCCTCACTAGAGCGGACCTGGCACTGTGTCCTCTCCCAGGTACAGCACCGTGCAACAGCATAGACCCCCTGTCCTCCAAATGCATTGTGAGCCACGCACTCCTTCTTGCCTTCTTGCTCCTGCGAACATAAGTCACAAACAGATACTGATCCACTGCTGCGCAGGCCCAGCTCATCTGTTACTGTTAGTGGATTGTTTAGTACAAGTGCTTGTTAGATTTACTGTGTTTGAACTTAATGTTCAACCAGGCCCAAATTACTTTGACTTATCGTTCTTATTAAGTTAATCTTTTTGTTATATAAACTTAAGTAAAGAAACAGAAAAATCCACTTCAAGGTTATAATGAGGCATGTGCTCCTTTCAACAGTACAAAGTCTGTTTATAGGGAGTGCAGAAGCTGCTGCTAAATCCCCAGTAACTTGCAGAACATGTTAAGGGAGTGGGGGGGGTAGCCTGGATACCTCAATGTGCTCGCCCCTCCTCAGGCCACTTGGAGAGAAGCTTGAGCAGCTGAACAGCTCCTCATCTGGGTGGCAGCGGGCAGTGACAGTGGCAGAACGAGAGACACCAGACTTCTGGGACCATACTGAACGGCACAACAGCTCCTCCCCTAAGAGACGAGTGAGAGGTGAGGCAAGCACTTTCTTATATCAAAGAGTCTTAACACTTAAGTGAATGTTTTATTTTGCGATATTCATTTTAAGTATAAATATGTAAGACAATGGGAAGGGGAAATATCTTCTAAAGCTCCATTTCTCATTTTTGTATTTCAGTATGATATTTATGTAATGTTTAAATGAATCAATTTGCTTTTTTTCTAGTTTCTCATTTTCTTTATCATCAAAAGAAAAAGAGGGAAGGGGGCTTTCTCATAACCTCCGACCTGTGGTGCTCGCAGGGGGTAGTCTTGCCACCATGTTGGGTGTGGCAAGCCAGTGTTCCTCTGGGAAGGCATTCTTATCAATAGCATGCTTAATGGTGTAGCGCAGCAGCTTCTGCAGGAGCTCTGAAGCCGTGATGTTGGGGGTGGAGTTCAGAATCACTGCTGCAATTCCTTAAGGGGCAGGGAAGAGAAAGAATACCCAAGGAGTTCAACCACAGCTGCTTTAGTAGCCAACAAATTAAAATTATCTATTCACTTCAAGGATGTTAATTTGGCTGATGCTTTTATTCAAAGCAAATTATATTTATACCTCAGGGTGTTTGCTGATGCAAGCAAGTTCCCTTTATACATTCCTCAAGAGTACAGCATCCAAGATCTGATACGCTGCTTTATGGACTAATACAACAAAAGTAAACCATGAACAGTAGAATACTATTCTACAATACTTAGGACAAGATAAAGCAATATTCTTAACACTACGACAGCTCCAGGTGCCACTACCAGCTACATGTGCTGCAGCCTGTGATGTGCCACTTTTGGAGGTGAAACAGGTTGGACAGTCACTGGATGCACTGACGATGTCATCTCCTGGGGCAAACAAGTCCACGCAGCGACCAAAATTCGTTCCAGAGTTCCCGATGCTCATAGGTTGGTCCCGGTAGTTAGTGGCACCAACTGTTATCACCTACAACAGAAGCTTTTTTTCAGTTTTGGCAAGAGGTAAAAAAATTACTGGCTAGAATGCATAGTGATATGAATGTACAACTTGAAAGATGTTTGGCATGATTTTCAAGATGTAATTTAATTCAAAGAAAAGTGCAATTCTCCATTCACCAGTAACACCACTACAACCCAGGTATAACCTCTCTATCCAGCAATCTGCTTGGACTTGGAACTAAATCCACCCAAAAATCCCCTGCATAAAGGGGAAAAGATGTCAACATCCCCCCATCCAGTACCTGTGGCTCTGAAGCGGGAGAGTACAGACAGGCGTCATCACGATAGTTGCCAGCAGCAGCAATGAGCATCACCCCACTTTTCACCATCTCCCGGCATGCACCATTGAGGGTAGGGCTGAATCCCCCCACAAAAGGCAGCAGCAGAATCAGAGGGAGGTAAGGCTGGGCGATCTGGGAGGCATGGACATACTCCAGGGCTGAAAGACACACATAACAAACAGGTCACAATCAGGAGCAAAATGGTTTCCTGCTGTCCCAGCAAGTAGTCTAGTAGTAAATACAGTCTCAAATTGTTTCATGCCTATATATTTTATTGACAAAGGATGTCTTAAAAAAAATTGTTGACCGGGGTCAACTCAGTATCAAATGGTAAAGAAGCTAATTTCAATCACTCTTTAATTTACTTCTGCGCTCTTCACAACAGTTTGCTAGAAACCGCATTCATAAGCAAAACTAGCACTGTACTACAATTTAAATTTGCACAGCAGTCTCATGTTTCCTGTGTCTCCAGTCAAAGCATCACCAGGATGAACTTACCGGCCAGTGCCCCGGACACCGTGCCCTTGCCTTGGCAATTCATCACCCTGACACTGCGCACACTGGCTCCCCGAGCCACTCCTGAGTCTCGCCCGCTCACCACGCCAGCCATGTGGGTGCCATGGCTGTCACACTTACTGGCCTGAGAAGAGAGGGCAAGAGCCTGAGCAAATCATGGTTCCACCTAATGGCCAAGATCTGGCTTAATTGCAAAAGTATATGTAAATGTGTACAATTAGATTTGATTTAAACAAATCAGATATACTTCATTTACCATTTTTTAATGTTACATATTTATATCTTTCCATCATGATATTTTAAATTCCTATAAAAACAAACCTTTTACCACCCCCACCCCCCCCAAGTTAGCCTGCTCTCTGAGCTATGTCTCTGTCCTATCGTGGCTGTTCTGCTTGACCTGTCTTTCTCTCTGTCCCATTGCCCATGTGCCTGACCTGTCTGTGGACACGGATGCCATCCTCCTCAGGAACACTGTTGAAATCAGTGACCAGCACACGTCCCTCAATCTCACGGTGGCTGTTCTGCACCCCTGTGTCCAGCAGATACACCTCCACTTGACTCCCGTCGTCTAACAGTGGACACAAAGGGCTCAATGAACAACTGTGTACCAGTACACTGCACTGAGCCATGCTAAACAATAACAGTCCTACTATTTCTTCTGGAGCACTCTTCTGGACTAAGGTTCTTGTTCCAGCTGAGATTTGATTTAAATTTTCATTTTAACTGATGGTTTTCATCTTAAACCTTTTTAAAATGTTTTCAGCTCTAACATAACTATAGATATTTCAATTAAGAATTCAATTGATGCAAGAAGCTAGGACAGTGTGAGAAGAGACAGGGGTACTCCAGGGCCAAGGTTCAGGACTATACAACAGCATACCAAACCAGACTGAATGTAGCCATAGTAGATTAGATTATCAAATTGAGGGAAGTCATAGATTCTACATTGCAATTCATTAGATTGTAATAAAGTCTTTCAATATTATCATAGTGAAGCACACCTAATCATGTTTTTTTACATCCTACTCAATCATAACATTTCTATATCAATACATCAATGCTTCTGTTTTCTAACTGCTTCCTCTAACCAGAGCCAGGGCCTTGCTTGGCGAGCAACAGGGCGCAAGGCTGGGTACAAACTAGATGCCAGTCCATTGCAAAGCAGACACATATACACTAAAACCAAAGCCAATTAGTCTGTCTTTGGACTGTGGGAGAAATCCCACATGAACACAGGGAGAAAATGCAACCTCCATGCAGATAGTAACCCTGGTCTAGAATTGAACCCATGACCCCAGCACTGCAAAGCAGCAATGCTAGCCACCATGCCATTCTCATCATTACATTGATTACTGTAGACTGTTCCTTACCCAAACATGTCAAAGAAAAACCATACAATTCATACTATTACCATGCTAGGCTATATCAAGCCATACCAGAAAACATATATTCTAAAATGGAAAACATAATGCTACAAATAATATATTACATGTTATGTGCATCATACTAATTCATTCTAAACTGGAGAGAAAATGTTTCTATGTTACATGGCAGGGATATGTACTTTTGATGTTCTAAATGACAATCTGTTTTAATCTTTTCATCAACCACCTGGAAAATTAAGCTGTTAAGCACCCATACTTTCTGGGAATATACTACATTGACCGATTGGACTAGAAGAGATGTGTTCACTAGTTCTGCTTTTCAGAAACTGGTATGTGTTGACCTTAACTGAAATAATTACCAAAACTTGTTGACTCCATTTGAATTCCTGTAGTGAAACAGTAGTACTCACTTGGTGGAGTGTATTTGTCAGCTGCATGTTGGGTCTGCACAATTCTGTCCAGGTTCCAGGGGATGCTCTGGGCAAAGATGGTTGAGTCTTCCTCAATATAAGCAACATGGGGCAGCTTCAGAGCCTGCAAAGCATCAAATATTCATTCAGCTTGTGCACAGAAAACATTTTCTGTCAAAGCATGTTAGTCTGAAAAAAATAACCATGTTACAAATGAAAGAAAGAAATATGTAAGTATACACAAAGCAATGCTTTTTTTTTGTATTGGTGGGGAAGCTCTGATATGTTATCATGTATGTCTTTCTGACCACAAGGAGGCAGTTTTCCATGGTAGCATTTGAAATTAAAACAGGTTTTTATAATGAAATACAGTATGTGAAACAGTCATTAGACCATTTGGCACATACCATATCTGTGCATTTTTTAACAGTACACTGACTAACATAGCTGAGCTCCAAACTGGACAAATACATCCTCTACCAAATGATCAGATGCATGGATATTTTTTTTTATTTTGGGAAAGCTAATTCAAAATATTCTCACTAACTTTAAAAAGCAATAAGCAAAGGATATAGATACAGATACAGAGCTACAGCAGGTCTATTTGTGCAATTATCACGAAAACTGAAAGTAGGGTTCTTAGCCCTCGTCCTGGAGGATTTGTTCCAAATGGGACATTAATCACCACTGCTAGTGGATGCCTATAACTCTCCTCTACTTACTAATTAAGAATGGCTTTGTATCAGACAACTGATAGAGGGCAGTCCTGAAACTTACTGAGTAGCGCAATGTTAATACTAATTGAAGACATTTTTTTCAGATTTTTTTAAATGGCCACCAATACTAGATTGAATTCAATTAAATCTGTGATTTAGAACCATTTTTGTAGAGCAATGAGATATGGTAAAGGCTACCTAAAACTGGGGAACATAAGAACATACTGTAGTACAGGGGTGCCCAGCCAGTTGATCGAAACAGACAGTCGATGTTCGGCAACAAAATAAATGGGCTATGTGACTATTTGCTTTTTTTGATAGCCTAAACATTCAGTCAGATCTATGCATGTAATGTCATACATTTTACTGCCCTTGTGTGTGTTTAACCCTTGTGCATAGTGGAGCGAAACAGACTGGCCGTGACAAATTCGCCAACAATTTGATAAGTTTGATTGCCTATGTGATAGTTGTAGTGTTTGAGCGAAAATTATGAAGCAGTGACTGAAAGCTTACCGTTACCATAAGGAATGGGAGCATGATTATTTTTTGGTATTTTTGCATTCAAATCTGCAATGCTAGTGCCTAGGCAAAAAGGGAAATGTAGAATAACATTTCAAAACTGCACAGAAAACGTACAGTATGTTGTGGACTTTCCCGCTAAAAGTGAATTGCGGAAAAGAAAAGTGGAAACATCAAAATCTCAACTAACTGCAGTCGGTTTTCACGAGGCCTAATACAAGAGGGAAAGCGGCAATCATTGCATCGTCCAGGGTGTGCCATGTCCTGCTCAACACAAAAAGTCATTCAGGGATCGAGAAGTAAAAAAAACATTTGCTGAGGCTGCTGACTTGCTGGAGATTTCAAAAACAAACATTTTTGGCGAGGTTCAGACAGCTGTTGCCTGAAATCAAAGAGTTTCTCAAGTCATCTAAACATGGTGAATATGCCCAATCAGAGGATGACCAATAGCTTTTGGATTAAGCATTCCTCAAAGACTTGACTGAACTGCTGAATGAGCTGAATGTCGAGCTGCAGGGACAAAATAAAAGTGTCATTGACATGATCAGCAGTGTCAATAATTCTGTTATCAGTGCCAATGCACACATTAAGGTAGTATATTCTTTTTTTTTAAATGGGGAACATTACTTGTTCACTGTAACATGAGTCACTTCCTTTTATTTGCTGTCATTTTAGTGATGGGTATCGTTATTGTACTGATGTGCCCACAGTCTGTTTTTCCTATATCAGTGCCTCAAATTCACTCTGGTAGATCGCGCTGGACTGGCAAATGAAAAAGTAGATCTTACATTAAAAAAGGTTGGGCACCTCTGCTGTAGTATGTCTTTCCGGGGCGCTCCTTCGTAATGCTGAGGATTTTTTCCCCAACAACGCACTGTGCTTTGCTTCCTCAAGTGAACAAAGACCAAGTCTTAGACGAAGCACGCACCAGATCTCAGAACTCAGCCCAGTTTTCACATTATCAAAGATTATTTGAATAGGCTAACTAATTTTACAAGTAGGTTTCTCTGTAATTTTAAAGATTTAAGAGTTTAAATCTGGTGCGTCTGAAAAAAATACTCATTTCCCCTTTCCCTTAAACGGTTGTTGAAAATGATCTAGTATTAGAAAAGTTGAATCAAATGTTGCTGAAATATATACAAATAGACACGTCACAAGGGTTTACCAAGTGTAGTACGTCGCTGCTCATTTTGACAAGAAACCCCTTCAATATCCCGGAGAAGGTCTGCACGGTGTCGGTGAGGTAGCCACGCTTTGCCGCTTTGGCTCCTAGCCGCCGAATAGTGCGCTCCACCTGAGGCTGGTGCGTACCCTCCCGCATTACTACAAGGTACTGTCCTGGAAGCCTCCATGCGTCCTGCACATAAAACACACATAGAGTTCACTAACTTTCGCTAGATATTGTTCTCTTTAGTTGAACCTTCAGATTACTTTAATACTCATCCCCTTGCTGTGTAGTGAAGTCGGGGTTATACCTATCCGCTTTGTTCAAGAATGTGCAATGTGCAAACATTTTCAAACTGCTCATTTACAGTAAATAATTTGGATCATTAAGAGCAGCAACCCATGTTGTCTGATATTTTGATTGAAATAGACCTAAAACTTTTTTAAAGTGAATTTTACTTTTCTTTCCTCGTTCCTCGAGAGAGATAACTTCATCCTCAGCCTCCCAGAGAAAACAGGCTAATAAAGGAACTGCCTTCTTCTAGAGAAGCCGGTGGAAATCGAGGATTTTTCACAACCGTTATACTCACTGTCCTACGCTTTTGTCCAGTATTTTCAACAGGGTTTAATCTGTATATCTTTTACATCAGTATTTATTTTCTGTTATTACAAACTAGAGCATGCTAACTAAACCAGCAATTTCATATTTCCAGGTGGGGCTCCCGCGCTTTAAATGTGATAGAAAAGGTGGTTAATCTGTCTCCTACCTTGTTACACCTGTAAAAGGGCGCGAGAGGTTCGGCTCCAGGTTCGGGTTCAGTGTCGTCTTGAAGAATGAGGGAGAGGATCATTTCATCATCCTCACTGTCTATTTCTGACCCCAAGGTAATGGAAAATAGGACGACCATAATACCAAGCAGCCTGGACATTTTCTCCAAACGTTCCGTTTCGGGCTTTGTGAGCTGTGAAAGTGTATAGCATTGAAGTTTCCAGTAGCAGACTACATTAAAGAAGGCAGTATAATAACATTAATACAACTGAAAAAGCAGCTGTTCTAAAAAAAAACAACCAAAAAGACAGTTAGCTAAGGCTTCGAGGCGGAGACTGGTGACGTTTTGGGGGTCACGCCACCCTAGTGCTATCGGACGATCCTCCTTTGTTAATAAATACCTTGGACTGGCACATGCAGTATGCTGGAGTCGGGTTTCATAGAACCCGGGGAAATTTGGCAAGAGCCCTCCTTCCGTCCTACGCATCTAATAACTACTGGAACTTTTCCTACTATCAAACAACGCTCAGGAATGTGTTTTAACCTACTTGACTGCAGTTGACAAACTCATTGTAATTCTTATTAGAAATTTGCTCGGCTGCAATGGATGTCGTAGCATTTAAAAAAAAAACATTTCCCCACAATCTTTGCGTTCTTTCTTCCCCTAACAATTATAGATAATGCTTTCAAACCACATATATTGTGCCAACGATTGTTCACACGTGCGGTGTTGTTTAGAATTACAGGACTTTATTTTATAGTTTTATAGGAGAACCTGGAAAGATTTCCAGAATAATAGTGATGGATTCTAGATTACGCTGTGGTTAAAGAATAACAATGTCAAGTAAACGCCGTCAATTCTGTTGCAAATGTAAGCCAGCGAGCAATTGCATATGATTATTGAGCTCTTATTCACTAATCCTGGTGTAGCAATTCGGAACTTAGATTTTTTTGTAAGGTACAATTGTACAATATATTATGTTACATTCCCACGCAGGATCAGTTCTGTTATAACGTGTTGGTCTATTTTTCTCCATCCCAACCTGTTATTAGTGAAGAAAATCTAGAACAGCGACTAAGTCTTCCCTTAGAACCGCCACCAGCAATGACGGTCAAATAAAAATACTTTAGCTATTTTGTTCGTGTTTAGAATTTCGCCACAGCGAAAAAGACCAGCATCCCCAACTTGTAAATTAAACTGCGACTCGATCACAGAGTTTACCATACATCTGTGTACTGTTGGTAATAAGTAATAAGGCCTTGTGCCAGGACTGCAGTTCTTCCAGGACACCTAATCTTTCCTAATTATTTAGATGACCTTCAAGTGAAGAAAAAAAACAAAGACCATTTTCTGGCAAACTATAAATGTCATATATGCTTGTGCAGTGTATAGGAATTGGAGAAAGGTTACAATGCAGAGGAGGTCATTTCCCCCCCTCTAGCCTCAGGAGAGGAGGCTACACAACAGAAACATTTGCTTTTCAGAGTGGAATTAACCTTTACTCTTTCCTTTGCAGCTCCCATAATGATGTAACTTCCCACTCCCCACATTTCCTGCTAGCTTAAACTACTGCTATGGGCTAGAATGGCTAAATAACTCTATATCAACTATAACTATTCATATATTTTTATCTTTGCAGAATTGGAAGTATGTATTAATCACATTTGCACACCAGATGCAAGTTTCAAATCCAAAACATTAGGTTGTAGACTTATGTTTGATATAATTCCTTCTCTCACATGGGATATTTGGAATGTTTTCTTTGCAAGCTGTTTAAAGTTTTGGTTTAATATTGACATACAACAACACTAATGTGTTATAGTACTGTATAATATTCATCTGTATTGTTTAAGATTTGCTATATCTTTTTTCAGTATTGCATGTGAAGTTAAGTTGAACTAGTGCCTTGGGTTTCCAAAGAGTTAACGTCGGAGGTAGGGTGGGGTAGAGGGGGTGATGTGTTAAAATTTAAATGGTGCTCTGATATTCTCTTGTAGCCAATAAGCGTAGCGTTTTGATATGGACCATGCCTTTATTAACCTTCAGCAAGGCTCTGACGTGTCCGCTCATGTTGAAAGAAAAAAAAATGAATAGGGAGGAAGGAAAGTCTGACTTTCTCTCAAGGCTACATGAAGTAGAAATGTTAAGGGAGAAAAGTTCAAGAAGTCTGCACAACACATAACTCAAATGCCACTCTGCTGATAAAAACTGAATTCTCTGAAACGTGTCATGGGGCTGGTTACCAACTGTAACAGTAAGTACAGATTAAACAATGTGCTCACATCAGACTTTAGTTACAGGACACCTGTGCCACATTTAAAAAAAAAGTATTAAAATCTTTGGTATTCACTTGCAAATATTTTAACATAAAGTATTTATGTCTCCATTAATTCCAAGTAGCTTAGATGTCAAATGATTAAAAGTAAACCACTTATTTTATTTACAAAAGCAGATATTAATAGAGTTAACAGCTCTCTCTTCCTGCCTCAAACCCTGTCCATTTATTCATTTCACAGAAAAGTCATTCAGAGTTAATTTCATTTCTGTCATTTAACTCCCACTGAAATCGAAAAATGCCATGGTTACATATGTTTGACCTCTATTTGTATCAAGTTGCTTTACCCAGTTTTATCATTACAGGACTGAGAAGGAGGCGTAAACTGGCTAACATGACTGACATTTTTGCCAATAGCTTTGACAGGCCCATTCATTCTGTGTAAGCCTCTTTTTGCTTGCATCGATTATTACCTCTATCTGGGACACGAGCAGGTTCTGACATATTTCCCCACAGACCTGTGTAACTATGCCCTCTTTTGGATATGATGATGAACTGTAGTGAAGTGCATTGAAGAATACAGGAGTGTCATATTGCACAGAACAGCTGTACTTTTCATTTTTAAAGGTAACTCACCAGACAGTGTTTCTTGTGTAAAAGAAAAACAAAACTAACTGGGAATATACTACCAAGCACGAGTAGCCTGCTTATATTAGAATTCACAGTAAAACAGATATTTCTCAAGAACAAGAACACATTGTTCAACAATTGTTTTATAATGAAATAACCGGTGGACAGTTATACTGTTTTAGTACAGTTTACTCCAGATGCACAGTGAAATATTATTAAAGGTTATGATAGGAAATGCACTTTATATATAAATTGAATGTTTTCTAAAGCATGACTGTGATACTCCTAATTGTTATAACATGCCTCTGTTTTCCTTTGGATGGAAATTGAGATATGGATTTAAAGACAGGAGGATGCCTCTTAAATCCTACTGAGATCAGGACCCATGAAAATAATGGCAGAGACATTCACGGGACTGAAGACTGGGGTGCGTCTCCACACATACACACAGAGCATTAAATGCAAGGTAAAAAATCAGCAAGCCAAGATCACATTTTGATTATTTTTTTAAATAAATGGAATAGTTGATTAGTTTTTTCTATTTTTCAAGTCTGCCAGTTACAGGATAACAAAATTTACATCAGCACGCTTGCTCAGAAGAGATGAAGACAGTGTGCACTTACGTTCTGGAAAGTGCACTTGTGATACCATTAGTCTCTTACTCACTCTGTAAGTCTCAGTGTTACAGAGAGAGCCAGATATTAGGGGTTTCGGGCAATTTCTACTTCAAAGCAGGGCAGCCTAGAAGGATTCTCTTAAAACTTGAGTTCACAGCCCTGATGTCATGAACAGTTCTTTCCAGGCCCCATGCGGATGACACAATCCGGAATAGCGCGGAAACACTAGGAAAAAGTCATGCAGGAGACGGGTATGGAGACAGGGGTGTGTGTCCTAGGTGTACAGGTGTACAGGGGAAGTGAGTCCGGGGCAAACAATCCAAGACGAAGTCCAAACAGGAAACCAGAAACAGAAGCATAAGTCCATGGCCAGGCGATCCATCCAGGGGATTAAAAACCAGGAACCAGGTCGGGACCGGCAGAGGGGATCAGGAACAGAAAGTTAAAACCATAACGGAGCCAGACACAGCAGGACCCAGGCTCTCACGAAACGGGATTCAATGAGGAGCCTCGAATGACGTCTGCATCTGGCTTTTAAGGGAGAACTGAAGAAGGGCTGGAATAAGGAACAGGTGCGGGTAATGGGGCAGAACAAGGAAGGGCTGGAGCGCCCTTGAGAGGAGGAGTAGCGATCGTGACACCTGATCCTGGGGGACCTCTGCTTCTTTTGTTTGATATATCAATTTACTTATTTCACATAACTCACAATAATAACTCCTTTCAAATTCTATGCAGTCCTGTGCATGAAAAGGATGAGAGGAGACAGCATTTAAAATATGTAAATTGTCCGTTCAAATGTTCAAGTCCAGTCATGGCTCTTAGCAGTGTCATGCAGTCTTACGATGACATCTACTGTCAAGAGGGCTACTATGATGACAGTGTTCGTTAGGAACTACAGCTCTGCTTTCCATCCAGTGACAATGCACTACAGATCTGAGTCATAATGTCCCGACTCTCCCCCTCACAAACCAGCTTTTCATCAACCTTCTTTCAAACACTGAGAACAATATTTTTGGGCAGAACAGGGAGATGGACTTTTGAAGTTTATATTTTGCTTATATTAAAGAGCCTTTGAAGATATTTTTGAAGATACAGACTTTAAAGCTCAGTAAGTAAACTCCTTATGCAGCCTTACTGTATGACAGTGAGCAGTTTCGCACACAAAATACAATATATTTGTATATACATTTCTGTGCAATTTCTATTTCTGTATTTGCTATAGATAATAGATTGAGCTCCCTAAAGCAACAGATTCATTTAGTTTAGCCACAGCTTTTGTGTCTTTTTTAGATGACACAAAAGCTGTGGCTAAGAAGGTGTTCTCTTTCTTCTTTTTTTCAGCATGGAATAAACCTATTACTTGTTCCTTTTTTAGATGACGTTCTGCATGACCAGTTGCAGCAGGCTCTGTGTGCATAATATCAAGCTACCAGATTCTGCTTAATTTGTACTTCATCCACTTGGCACTTGGTATTATCCCATACGTATGTAATTGCTTTTCCTGAAGCAGGCTCTTAAAGGTTAATATTTATTGGTCCATTCATCTTCGTGACAAAACTCTAAACAAGAACTTTAAATGAGACAGCCAACAATTTTAGCTTTATAACTTTTTTTGTACATGGCCTTATAAACTCAGAGTAATTTTAAGAACAAATTTGAAGTATAACTTCATACAAGCCATGTGCTGGTATAGGCATTTGTTGAGTCCAGGGTGAGCTCAACTTGGCTCTACCATTTTGAGATTAGTCAGTCAGGGTCCTCCTGGGTGAGTGGGTGCCTACAGGCTTGCAGTGACATCAGTAAGAAATGTTCCTCAAATGCAGACTGCAGTATCCCTTCTGACAGGCACTGTGCAACTTGCCTTGTGCCAAATCACTGGTTCTATCATGCTCCCAAGCATCCTGGAATAATCGGCTCTATACGTAAGATGTCACAATGAGAATGAACTATTACGGTTGTCCAAAGCAGCACTGCAGTAAGAATACTATATTCAACAGGATACTGCCAGCAAGATGCCTTGGTACTGACTGTGTCCTCCCTAGACTATGTAATCTCTAAACATTTAGGAGTCTATGGATGAAAGTTTACAATGAAAGAGGTCATACAGCTTATGCATGTTAATGAGTGAAATGTAATTTTTCCAGAGCTCTAGTTTTTTCCATTAGCACTCATTTAATTTTTTTTTATTTTGTTTTCTAGGTGCTTAATGGCCTTGTAATTAATGACCTGTGACTTAATAAAAATAATTGCATTTATATAGCATTTTTTTATACCCAATAAACCCAGTAAAAGAAGGAGGAAACTCACTTCAACTACAGCTCCCACCTGGGTGATGTACCGCAGCTACTTGCTCCAGCAGCCCCAGTAGACAGCAGATCACTAATTGGGTCACTTAGAACTTTAGGATGGCCAGATTATACAAGTCTAGAGTGGAAATTAACAGGATACCAACAAGGGACATTACAAAGTACTCCTCTAATTTGGACTACTTCCCTTTTGAAAAATGTCATTAGCTCTTTAATGACCCATTAGTTAGGACATCAGTTTATTGTCTCATTCATAGAATAGCTCCTCCTACAGCACAGTGCCCCCTATCCCCCGGCTAGATCAACTTCGGTCCTGAGGGAAGTGTATCATTTGCTGGTCCACCAGTGCCACATACAGCAGCAACCTGGATCTCCTTGGAAATCTCCCATCCCAGTACTGACCAGGCTCAACCTTGGTGAGTTTCTGAAATCTTACAAGGTCAGGCTACAAAATAGTAATGCTGCTTGTGACTTGGAGCATAACACAGAATAGGCGTAAAGGAAACAGAATCATTCAGAATGCATTTTCTGTTTATTCACATTTTCTGGCATATTTTTTTTCAAATGCGAACAGTTTAAAATATGTATATATATGAATTTTGGAAATAGAAGATGGAAATGAAAGATTTATTTTAAATGATTTTGAAAAGCACTCCTGTTTTGCTAATTTGAACTATGTTGCCTCAGCATTCGAGGTTCCACAAATAACTGACTAATGGCAAATTAGTACTCCTCCACCAACATCCAAGTATTCCAATATTATTTTGTGTTAATCATCTTTTGGTCAAACTCAACTGCGATGTGTCCATTAAATATGTCCTTAAATTACTGAAAAACATTCATATAAATATACAATTTATCATTTAAAAAGGGGGCTGCAAAAATTGAAAAACATCCTTAGGGTGCAGATCAGGGCAATTCACTCAATTCACTGTCCAGGTCAGATGCCACATGGCAGGGGTCCTCCACTTTCCCATAATACAGCTCCTCTGCTTCAGCACCCTTTCCTGTTGCCTTGTTCAAGTGTCCCAGGGGTGATGGGAGCAGGGTGTTGGCATGCACACCATTCGCCTCAGTACAGCAATAGTGCTCCTCGTTATTCACTGACGTGTCAATCATGGCAATGTCATCAGAACAGTGGTGCCAGTGGCTGTGTGCCTTGTGCCTGAAAGTGGCATTCTCCTTTTGGTCATGTGGAAGTGAGCACAATGAGGCAAGGTCACCCTGTCCCACACTCTCCGTGTCTTCATGAAACACAGCCAGGGGTGCTCCTTGCTGTTGCTTTACCATCCTGTGAAGACAGAGAGCAGTACTCTTCAAGTGACTTCATGTTGATTCAAAGAGGTTGCCAGATGCAGTATCATGATCAGCCTAATATATTGCAATCATGAAGTACACCAAATTTCCTGTGTGTTGACTTAAAATATTTCCTAATGACTATCCATAGCATTGCTAGTATCAGTACCAAGTTAAGAATAAGAATATAAAGTAAGACATATCATTAATAAACCAATGTTCCTGAATTTGAGTTTAATTGCAGAGGTTCCATCTACTATAATATGGCTTAGTTGTACTGTATGTTTAAAATTATGTGAAATGTATGTATTCTGAAAGTATGGTAGAGGTGAATTGGATTAAAATATTATACTCTGATCACATCCTCTTTGCTGTTTCCAGACCCAGAGCAACAGACTGTGCCCTTTTTCATACTGCTGTGCTGTGTCAATTTCACCCTTTCAGTCACCCTTTGAAATGCCTCTCATTGCACCTTGTCTCGTCTAGGACTTCAGCTGTGGATGGAGCAGCACAAAGAGGTGCTTTCTCAGGGAGAAGGAAATCGTCCCGCATCTCAGAAACAGGTGAAAATGTCACCTGAAAGAGCAAGGGAGTAAGAATGACATGCATTGTAACATTCTGCATTTGTATTTTATTGGCAGTGTAAACACAGAAGCAGCAACAATGCCTGCCTGAAAGTGGCATAAAGATACAAACAAGAAGGCTTGCAAACCTCATGTGTCTAGAATAAGAAGAAATGACAGCTAAAATATACTATTACAAGGTCACAATATTCTCCATTCCTCTTTACTTTTAAATAGGTTTTGTGACATTTCATGGATACCACTAAAACAATCAAACAAATGCCAAGAAGGAATTTTGAGTAGTGTAGTTTTTATACAGTATATATTAGCTTGTGTATATAGTAACTTTTCGCAGTTGTGCATTTCCAGTTGTTGATCGTGTTTTGTTTTTAGAATTGAGTGTTGAGGTTTTAGAAGCCTGCAACGTTTTGTTGTTCATGTGCATTTATACAGCCAGATGAGTAGACTAACATGTTAAAAACTGTATTACTCATGCCCAATGGTCATAATAACACATTTTGTATTCTAAATTTTCAAATCAGGTACAATAAATATTCAAAAAGCATGATTTACTGTCATTACATACATCCACAAGAATATCAGACCATTCTAAATATAAGCCTTTAGACACAGCAAGTCCAATCCAACCATCTCCAAGAACACTCTGAAGATGATGGACAGATAGCTGGATGAAGGCATGTGTTTTGTATAAATTGACAGCAACACATGCATACTTTTTCCTCCTTACCTTTGGATAGCATTGGCACATGCTCCAGATGATGCCCACAACCACCATGAGGATGCCCATAGCACAGAAGGTGGCATAGATCTGGGGCTCTTCAACACTCATGAGAAACATCCCAATCGTGACCACGAACAGCCCCAACACAATCAGACTGTACCGATATGGTTTATTATCTGCCATTTAAGCTACACAATTCAGAAGATCTAGTGCACAGCCAAAGACACAAGCAAGCAAACTCCTGTTATTCCTTCATAAATAAAGATCCAGGGATGTAAGTCTCAAATACAGAGGAGAATCTTCTGGAAAATCACGGTGAACTACTGCTGTGGTTTAGTCTCTTTCAGTGCTCTAAACACAGTGACATTGTGTAAGCACATGTAGTGTTTTTTGTACACAGGGACCTGCTTCAGCCTGGTCAGGCCAAGTTCCACCCAGCCTGGTTATGACCGACTGTAATCAATGCAAACTGACTCACTGCTTTTCATTCTAGGGCACTTGTAATGTGGCCTTATAATGTGACCTTGCCTCAGGCTCTCCTTGCAAGAGAGTAGGATATCTGTACACCTTCTTTTGCGAGGGACCAAATCTAACCAGGCATGTGCCAGACACCACAGGTAACAAGCTGGCATGGTTACACTTTTCAGAAGTCTAGTCCACATAACAGGTCATTGTGTAAGGTAAAGAATACCTGGATAAGTGTGTCCACTTCCATCTTTAAAAAGATAACCCATTACTCAGATTTCCCATTATGCCAAGGTTAAAGCCATTTAAAACGCATGACTGTGAAGGTAATAAAACTTAGAAATAAATAACAGGCCTTACTGCTCAAAGACTGAACTCTCAATCTCGACTGATTGGATAGACATTGGTTTCAAAATTATTTATTTTATTTAAGGAGTCTAAAATAGCCCAACCTCACAATGGGTTATTAATGTAGGATTTTTTAATATTTTGTGTAATTCTTATTTCATTTTAACATGTAGAGGAAATGGGACAAACTTCTAAAGTCTGTTCTGTATTTTATTTATATTTTAATGGAATATAACTACAGCTGCAGGCCTAATGCAGTAATGACGTCTGAGTGTAGCTGCTTTAAAAGCAAATATACAATTAAACACAATTGGAATGACTGATCTATTATTAAAATTATTATCATATTTTTCTATGAAGTGTCCCTTAATGTGTAATACTTTTTGCAGTAATAAAAAAATGTAACATAAGTGTTACCCCTTGGGTATTAAACATATTACATATGAATCATATTACATGAACACTTACCTTTCAAACAAAGCAGAACATCATATCTGTTTTTCATTAACTGAAAATTCCAGAAACATCCCGAATTTCCAGAAACGAGCTGGGCACCAGTCTGGCCAGCCACAAATCACTCTTGCCTTTGTCCTGGCAAACCCATAAAAAAGTTTACCATGATTAATCTGAGAACTCATATTCCTTGCTTTTCCCCCAGGGCCATACCAGCACTTTTACTATTAACTGACTTTTTTGCATGACCTGTTTATATGATGTTCAGCTTCTAAAAGGGCAGAAGTACACTGTATGGACACTTATGATCAGTTTGAGAACATGGAGCATTCCAGAGAGTCTGCTTGCTATGCTAGAGGAAGAAAGAAATATGACCTGTATCTCAAAGTGTCTAAGCCTTCAGCTTCATGTAGGTGAGCAATGTCTTGTCTGCTCCCTAGTACAGAAATAAAAGACCAACCCTGATATAAGAAGTGCTGTGTGGTTTCTTAGGTTCTTTCAGGTCAGGCAGGAGAAAAAGTGTGGGGAAGGATAAATAGCAGATCTGTATTCCAAGCAGGGCATGAAAAAGAGTTTACTATTTACTCTTGCTGAGCTGCACCGTGTTTCTGTTTGTGGAGTCAGTCAGAGCCGTGCCGTGCTCATGGTGCTCTTCATAACAGTCTCATACGAAGGCGGAGGGTCCAGGTCCCAAAGTGGGGGGTATCCCAGAATGCTGTGATGGCTGTGACTGGGAGGGGCTTGGACATGCTCTCTGTCTTCGGAAACAACTCTCCTTATCCTGTCAAGTCTCCTAGAAACACAGGAAAGTAGAGATGTTCATGTAAATAGCATACTCTGACTGCCATTCCCCAGGTAATAATATACAATTGGTCAAGCACAGCTGAGGGTAGGGTGGGAATAATCGGACAGAGCTCTGTCGGCTCTGTATTCACAGAGCCCTCTGCAACCTCCTAGGTGTTTTGCAGGCAGGCATCATTATATTTTCTTAACTGCAATTTATTGTACTTGAAAGTAAAAGAGAATATCAATACTCATATAAACTATAAGAAAAACAGGTATTTTATCTATAATGGAGGAGAGGATTTAAAAAAAAGAAGAGTAACATTTTTCAATCTAATAATCTCTGCCCATTGAATATAGCCCAGATGGCTAATTAACAAACTAATCCCTTCCTGCAGAATTCAACTTGGAAATTAAATAAGATAAAGAAAAATACAAAGAACCCATACTGTACCAGCAAAGGCAGCTAAAACCAGAAACATACACTAAGTTAATGATTGACAAAAATGATTAAATTAAGCTGCTAATTTCATACTGAAAGGATTTGCTATTTATTCCCTAGGAACAGGCAATTTTGTGGTAGTGTGTATGCAAAAGTTTTTATTCTTAGCTGCTGTGAAATTAGTTTATTGCTCCTGTTGTATAACTGTTGTGTGTGAGTGTTTGTGTGTATTGTCCTTTGGCCTTGTTGTTGTGCTTTGCTTAAGCATGTGGTATTCTCACATTCCAGCTGTTGTGCAGGTTTCATTTTCAGCCCAGTTATTGTGCAGTGATTGTGCATGTGTTATTATTACAGTCTAACTGCTGTGCGTTGTCCTGACATAAAGTCCTGTTTCACCTCAAGGGCTGCTGCTCTTCAGAATATTATTGGTTTTGAGGGAGGAGTTACTGTTAACCAATTAGAGGTCTTAAATGTTGTCAAACTGTGTTGTATTAATGTCAGATGCTGTTGAAGTTAGGGGGCCTAGAAAGAATTGTTTATAACTAGTACAAATGAAACCTGAATAGATACATCATAATAAGGAAAGTACACAGAAAAAAGCAGACATTCTGAGTGAAACACGTTGCCTGTTGACTACACATCCTTTCAATTTAACATTTGTTTTTTATAGAGAGTGAAGTGGTACAGTCACACAGGAAGTGGGAAAATTGGAATGATGCCCTCAGTATCTGCTCAGCCAATGCCCTGTCAGGATCTCAAGGATTCTGTGCTCAATGTTTAAATTTGGCACATTTTGTTTATTCTACAGACATGAACAACCCCTCCCACACAAAAGCTTTAACACATGCTGCTTTTATTATTCCAAGATTCTCATTACTGAAACAAGATCACATATCACAAAGACACTTCTTAAGAGAACGGTCTTTTTTTACTGAAATAGCAAAGGTTATTATACTTCGGAAAACAGACTAAAGGACAGCCATATTGTAGGTTTAAACTATTTTGAAAGTGTTCCAAACCTTGGCCCCTTAAGATATTAGAAGTATTTCCATCAGGTCTGTATACCAAATACATATCAAATCTATACAAATACAATACAAATCTATATAGAGGTCACAGATGTTACCACCCTTGCCGAACAATTAACCGAGTATTGCTTTTTGTTCTAATCAATTTAAACATAGTATTGTAAAGCTTTTATTAGTCATCCATTATGTCTACTATTCAATGACCCATACTTACAATACCTATCTCAATATTAAAGGCAGAATACCAGAGAAAGTTGACTTCTGCCTTCTTTAGTGAGAAAAATATCTGAGCACAAGAACATAACTGAAAAACATAATTCCTTCTCAGTCATTTAGTTTCTAACACCTTACTGATTTGAGAATATAATTTAGTCCATCTTGCTCAGGAGTTTGCTGGTAATTCTTAAAAGGATCCCAGCAAATTGCTTGGTAACAATGCTCTGGTGATTCATGACCCATTGTGTAAAAAAAAGTGTCTCCTGTTTTCAGTCCTATATGGACCTCCTCCTAAACACAATGTGTGATCAACTATGGAGCTGCAAACTATGTAATATGTATAATATGTATTGCCATCCATGTCTGTACTCTGTTAATTTACCTGATAACTTTACTCATCCTATATATATATTTTAAAATAAGAGTGACAATATTTTTTTTCTGCGTGTGTAAGACCTATATTACATGAGGGCAAACTCCAGGACCAAGAGTGACAGACACATTTTTCTGGTTTGACGAACCCACTGAGCTGTGATCAGAACTCAACCCAAGGACTAACGATTAAAAGATTACTTTCAACTCAGAAAGATGTCCTCCTCAGAAGACCAACATTACCAAAACAATATGTGAAACACACTGCACACCCACCTCTGTATGATAACAGCCTGGCTTCCATGGTAACGGGTGCAGGCCCCTAGGTGGAGTGGAAAGTGTCCTGTAGTGGTGACATGCTGCGATTTCATGGCCAAGTACAGTCCCAACACTATCAGGATGGCACCAAATACCGCCAAGGCCAGGCCAAACAATCTTGCTCCTTGGGCCTCCCAAGAGTTTCCTAAACATAGAAACATGAGGACCCCAGTACCCATGAGGAATATCCCCAGAGAGATGACTCCGCTGTGTATGGAAGGCATTTCTCCACAGCTTAGAGAATCTCTGCTTCTGCTCACTTCTTATTATTCGCCTTCGTCTGCAGGATTGCCAGACAAAAAGGGAGTGTACTGTATGTGTCTTAAATCACAACACAAAACCGCCCCAGCCACTTAGTTCTCAGCCTCATTACTCCCTTGGGAGTGAGTCATGATGGAGGTGAAAGAAAACCCAGGCAAGTCGTAAACTAATGACAACAGAAAGGGCAACCTAGAGAGCACCACAAAGGTTATGAACTGCTGAACATTTCATGAACAATCACGTTTTTTGTTTGTTAAAATCAAAATCGGATACTTCCTTGCAACAGTTCACGGTCCACTCTCCCCCTTAATGTAGCGAAGTGCCTCCTTCCTGTGCTCAATTTGTATGCACTCCAGTGCCACGTACAATCTAGATATGGCCGATCTTTGCTGAGCCTGAAGTTCTGGTGTGGCTTTATCACAATTCTTAATTCCTTAGACAAATCTCCCCAATGTAGACCACTTCAGCAATTATGTATTTGCCATTAAGGCATGGAGTCCACTTCATTTAGGCAAAAGGAAATGGTCTCCCTCAGCGTAACTGCAGAGATTCCCAAGCAAAATGTAAAAACTTCAAAGGCAGTGCAGTCAAAGCAAGAGGGAGTCGAATGATTGGAAGGACTGGAAAATCCTGGCAAGTCTTGGACACCCACTGCAGGAACTGACAGCAATGACCAATCACCAGTCTGGGGTTCAGGAGGGGCCAACAGAAGAGATTAAACACTTGAAGGTGCTCTATGGAGAAAAAACATTATTAAAGGTACTTTATAAAGAAAAGAAATATGATCGTTGTTTTAAATATAGCTGTGAGACACTAACACAAATGCGTGTGAACAAGAAAGACTGTTAGATATCGTCTGCTGTTTACTCCTGTACACAAAAGCTGCATTTTTATCCCAAGCATTTTATGGCTTCGCCTATTAAAAATCTGCTACTAATGCTTTGTACATTATTCCGATTTATGAATAAAAAGGCTTTTGTAACCACATAAAATCACGAAATACTAGAATAATATATCATGACGTATATTTCTTCATTTCTTTCTTACTGTAATTATTACCTTTGGAATATTTTTCGTACGTTTTGTGGGTAAACTATTGTACACATTTTTTCTTGAAATGATATCCAAATTTGTGGGGTGTTATTCAACCATCCATCTTTGAGCAAACTTTCTGGTTGATTTTTATATTTTAATCGGTAAATTAACTACTGTACACAGCAAAGAAAATACAATTTTATAGACTGTATTTCACTTTGAAAAACAGGCATTCAGATATTAAACAATGAAACGCGGGACTACACCAATTTACTGTAGGCAGTGGGCGCAGCCCCTCTCTGCTATTCTTCACACGCGTGTGTCTCAAAACACAAAAATATCTATACATTAGTTTAATCTACTAGTTTAGCATTATATAGTTTGCATTCGAAGAGAACTGCGATAAGAATCGCTCGCATACAACCAGTAAGAGGATGTTTCCGTGCGGACAAAGCTTATTCTTACCTCTTAGTTGCTTGGAGGAAGACGGCTTTAGAGCACTGCAGTTCCGCGAAGAAGATAGGGAAAGACCCGTTACTGCCAGAATTGTATATTTGTTACGTAAATTATTTTCGGTAAAGAACTGTTTTTATATATTTTAAATATGCGTAAGGCTAAAAACTGTACAGGATTTTTTTAATCAAAACGGGCGACTCTAATTTTTTCAAAAACTTAAGATGTCGAGATAGTTTCTCTTCAACTCTTTTCGCTCTCCCTCTCTACGCAGTTGGCTGACTGTACTTCAACCAACTCCTCCTAGAAAACTGTTCTATACAGGCTGTGCACTGCCACAATATCTGCATGCTCAAATCTTGTTTGTGTGTGCGTTTTAAGGTCTATACTATTAATTTCATTAGTTAATTGCTATTTTAAAATTAATAGCACTTTGTTGTCATGGATTTGTTTCCTTCATTTAACTGACTCTGAACACTGTTGATTGACGGATAAATGAATACGTATATTGGTGATCTTTACGATGATGGAAATTAATTTGTAGCACAACATCACTGATACAATTACAGCAGCAGCACTGACCTTCACAATTTGTCTTTTTTGTGCTTGTAATTACTACTTCTGCTTGCACAGACTATTTCACTGCGATGTCTTACTGCTTGTACACCACTACTTTCACTGATGCAGCTAACAGATTATGTTAACTTCAGGTAATGTTAGTGGTGTTATTATTAGTATATTTAAATACAGTATGTTGAGGCAATATTTAAACATACAATAACAGCTGCAATTTATAGATAATTATCGAGCACGTTAAAAAGATGCGTTCTCATAACAGACATCAATTCCTTTATTTTTTTTAGAAATGTACAAAGTAACAGCCTTCACATGCAGATAAGTAAACTCCATCTAAGCGCATGTCAGATAATCAGCTTTATGCTCCATTACATATCGTCAGTGCCATAAAAATATAAATGCAACAACATATCATATCCAGCATACACAGGCATATATTATAACCTATTGAAATGTATTTTATAAAGGCAGGCAGGGTTCCTTTAATAAAAAAAGACATTTTTTGTCATTGAAACATATAAAAGTTTTCTGGAGTTTATGTGAGGCAGTATCATATTTCAGTAAAAAGCTCCTAATATTTGTGCATAGGTGAAACACTGATTTTCAGAATACTTCAGCTCTGTGCTAATAGTAAATCATTATGCATAGATGTAATCTTCTGTGTACAACAAAGTATAATAGTGCCTCCAGGTGAGGAGTGATCTGAAAATATCACACACATTACTAAAAGTAATGTTAAACACTTGCAAATTACTAAGGTATTATGCTTCTGAATTTTATTTTCTTAATTCCATAGTCTTACAGTTAACTATACCTGAAAATTATTGTTCATTTTAATTTTCCAATAAGTATAAAAAACATACTGGCTTTCCACTTGGTCTGATTGTAATGCTGAGCATAAGAAGCTGTTCAAGGAAAAAAGTATGAGCATGAAATTCACAATATTTTGGCTCTGGAGCTCCATAGCCATAATATTACATATTTCACTCTCTTCACTGTACGTTTCAATGGATTAATGTGTAATTAATCTCTGCATGTTCCTTTTGCAGAACCTGACCTAACCTTTACTCTAACAGTGAACAGTATTACAGTGCCTTGCGAAAGTATTCGGCCCCCTTGAACTTTTCAACCTTTTGCCACATTTCAGGCTTCAAACATAAAGATAT